CGTTTAACCACATGCTGGACCGGTAAAAGGTGCGGTCAAAGGTGTTTACCCCAGGTTAAAATCGACAATGCGCTGGTTGGTTCATTTTCAAAGGCCGCAATCATGGAGGTTGACACTGGTATCGAGCCGCATGGACCTCGACGTTGGTCTCACTGCGTATATAGAGGTCCCTGCCGTCGCGCCCCAAGGCAGCCCTGTCATCCGAGACAAGGACTACCTTTATGCAGGGCGGCGCGCCTTTGCCGTCTGGATGGACTGGCACGAGTGGCAGCAGGTCTACCGCGCGCTGTTTGCTGTCGAGCTGCATCTGGACGCCTCCAATGGCGACAAGCTACGTGGCCTTGCGCGCATTGCTGCCTGGCGCGCTCGCAGCGATGTGCCCATTGCGATTGAGGTCACGGCGCAGCTGGCAGAGATCAGCTGCCACGATGGGGCGTACGGCCTCGCGACGCCTGGCCGGTCCATGTACCGGTCGTACGAAGAGCTGCGGCTGTTGTACGCGGCCACCATCTTGCGCTGCGTCAACGGTCTTGTCGACGCGTCGCAGAAGGGCGCGTACGCGATGCCCGTGAGCACGCTCGCCATGCGCATTGGTATTCCGCTCTGGGTCGTCGACATTCGGCACGAGTCGGCGCACACCAAGCTGCCGGCGCTGCCGACGCTGCAGCTCGCAGCCCAAACGCTCTGGAAGTGGCTCTTTGAGCACTACTGGCAGCCGCAGGAAGCCTCGTTTCTCGACCGCGTCGCTCGCATCGAGGGTTTGCTGCGTCGCTGTCTCGGTAGCGCCATGTACCAATGTTACCACTGGCTCACATTCCAGTAGAAACGAACGAGCCGCTTGGACCGCTCATGGTGCAGGATCTCGACGCACTTGCTAAAATCGCCGTGCCTCTTCTTGTCTCGGGCCCGCCGTACACGGCGTCGGCGGCGCCCGCCGATCCCATGGCACCCAAAGGTACCGACAATATTGTCCTGCGCATTCGGCACAAGGCGCGAGTAGCTCTAGGCTTGCTTTTGGCGCCAAGCACAAACGAGGCCAGCGCGATGTCGCTCTGCCGCGAACTCCAGACGATCTGGCCGCTCTTCGACGCTGCCATGGTGGTCGCGCTCGCCTCGCACGTGACTGCGGATCCGTCGGTTGTCGCCAGTGCCTCCAAGTGGATCTTCTTCTTTGCACAAGGCGACGCGTGGGTCCGTAGCGATGCCTTTCTCGACGGGCTCGCCGAAGCCCACGCAATCCTGCGTCAGAGTGACCACTTAGATGTTCGCTCCTTGGATCCAGCAAGTGTCTTATCGAGGTACCTGTAGGTCCAACCACTCGCTGGCACTCTCGCCACGTACATGGATGTGCCCACGACGCACTGCCGACTCAACATGCCCGCGGCACCGGCAGCGGCGTGGACGCGCTGTGCGACCTGGACGCCGACGCCACTTGGTCTTCACACGCCGTTTGGCGCGGTAGGCAAGGACTGGACGTTCAGCGACGCTGTCGACGACTTGAACGCGGGACACATGGTTCTGCTGAGCGACCTTCCGGCAGAAGCCCCCGACGCGCTCGATCCGCTCGCAGCCTACGAAGCGTCCTTCTTTGACAAGCTCACGCAAGCGGTCGACTTGGACTTGGCGATTGCCAACGAGATTGAGCAAGTTGGTCAAAACAGCCACAACGAGAACGTCCCCGAAGACGAAGTCTCGCGCCTACAAGACGCCATTGAGATTTGGTAGGTAGTATAATTTACGAATCGATTCAAATGTTAGTACCAACATGTTCGCAACAAAAAGCATACTAGTATATTTTTTCAGTGTTTAGTTAGTACATGTAGTACATGCGAGGTTGGGCATTGTAAGAAGACTCGTGCAGCGTGGGGCGGTGGGATATACCCATTTGCGACAGCCAAAGCTGGCGGTCGCGCGTTTCTTGGGCCTCTTGGAGACGCTGGAGTCGGGCGATCTCGGCGGCGTAGTCGACTCTCGGCGGCTGCGGGGCTTCAATGTCAAACACTATGTCTTCGTCGCCCACGACCTCGCGCGCCACGGGTACACCGTTGACGCGAACGGTGACCGTCACGGGCTTCTTGCGCTGCACTGGCGGCTGTTGCGTCGGCGTGACGATGCGAATGTGCTTGGGCTGTGGCGGAGTGCGAGCTTTCTGCTGCGTGGTGTGGTTCTGTCTCTCGTGCGTCGGCGACGGGGACGACTGCATGAAGATAAATGGCATGGATGTCTGCGGATGCGCGGTTCTTGGTGGTGGTGTCGCCTCTGGGGACTTGACTGCCGTAGCGCGCTTTTGCTCTTCCCTCGACACGACGGGCACACGCTTGAATGCATACAGGGTACTGGTTCGGGACGTCGAACTTGACGGCTTGGTCGTCGACTCTGCAGCGACGTGGTCCTTGTCGTGCGCTGCTCGTTGTTGGTGGGAGCTTGGTTCTTCTGTTGTGCTTTCCTCGTCACGCGGTGTTGGTTCATCGCGTTGAGTCTGCTGCTCTGGCTCTTGCGCATGCAGCTCTGTCGTAGTCTCGGGCGTCATCTCGGTGCTTGAAGGTTCTTGTGTGATGGCCGTTGGAAGCTCCGGGTGGGCCTCCTCGTCGGGCACGTCGGCTGCCATGGGCTCACTTGTGTTTTCTTCTTGCATGCTATCCACGCTGGCTTTGTCGTGTGCGGCGTCGATCGAGACCTCTTGCACACTGCCCTCGGGCGTTGGCATGTTGACGATCTCGTAGTCGTCGGTCGTCGTGGGCGTCGCCTCCGTTGGCTCCGCGCGGGGCTTCTCCATGTAGCTCATGTTGCAGCTCGATAGTAAATTTGGTAATGAGCTGCCATCTCGACGTCAATGTCTTCGACGGGACGTACGCGAATTCGCGAACAAGATGCGCGAAAAGCTCGAAAGGTCTCGAAAAAGCACTATCCGGATATTTATGTATCCGGACGCGCCACGACCTTGCCACGTCATGCTCTTGGTCAGGATGCGCTTTGCAGCAACCATGAAGAGCAGGCACATCTGTATTCATTCAACTTCACAATCCCAATGCCAGAGCAAGCAGCAGAGGATAGAGCAACGCAGCTATCCTGTTGCACTAATAACGTTAGCACCTCTGGGTCACGTCCACCAATCAGAACTCGTGTTTGAACTTGGGGCAGCCATGGGCCATCGGGTCCGGTCGGAAGTCGTCGATGAGATCAACGGCAGCGACGAAGTACTGCCTCGTTACCGACGCTTGCCGTGTCACCAACTCTATGGCATAGCTCTCGGAGGACGGCTTCACGACGTTGCGCATACAGCCTCTGGTATGACCTCCTGCTAACGTTGGCCATCGAACAAATGGCTCCGGACGCCGCCAGCGTAGGCCCGCCCGAGCGATATGAACCCGCCAATGATGGACGCTGATGGAGATATCCACGTCGCTCGAAAGCGCATGAAAGCAGCGGTGAGCGAGATAGCGTTGCGTGTACAGCGCGACTGCTTCTCGAACAAGTCGGGCGTGCAGGTGTGGCGCGCCGCGTTCCTCCTCGTCGACTTTGCACTCCACCACGCCAGTGTCTTTGCTGACGAAACGATTCTCGAACTTGGCTGTGGCATTGGTACATCCTCTTCCTTATACGCTCGGGGGATGAGCTCGTGTAGGCTTCGTCAGCCTCGTGCTCTCCGGCGTCGCCAAGCTCGTGCTCGCCACGGACCACAACGTTGATGCCCTCGCGCTCGCTGAAGACAACCTTCGCTGGAACTTGCATGTAGGCAATCATCTGCATTTGGTTGTCGGTTGAATCGTGGTTAGGGTCCGTGCCGATTGCGCCGTTTGGATTGGACGAGGCGCGCGTTGCTGCCGCCCGAAGAACCGTTCGGCTGGTCGAACCGCGATCGCACGGCGCTGGAGCGCGCTCGCTTTGTGCTTGCGAGGTAGTGTGTGCTGTGCGGCAGCCATCTACTTCAAAACCGTATGCCTAGTGACGTGTTCTATGACGATGACGTCGCAGTTGCATTCTTGGCCAAGCTCACCGAGCTCCTGCTGGAGAATGCAAGCCGGACGGCCATTATCGCCACCGAGAAGCGGGTGTCATGCCTCTTGTCAGCGCAGCAACTGACGCGGATGCGTAGGCCGTGTTCTCGGCGGCGACGTTATCGGTTGCCCACCTCGGTTATGACGTTTTCGAGGCCAGGATTTGCCGTCATGTACCACTCACGTCACTCAGCTTGACCGAGCCGCATCGTACGCGCTACACATGCGAGCAGTGTCTGGCGAAAGAGGCCAAGCCCTTCTTGGCGGCGACGCCCCTGCCCACGCACGAGGTCCCCCAAGCGTTTGCCTACGACCGACAAGAGATGCTCGAGCTGTGGTTCATACACGGCCTCGTCAATGCCCATGACGCAGCGTAGTCGTCCATACAATACGAGATTCATTATACGCAGCGTCTACATGGCTGCGTAGTCCATTTCGCTGTCGAGGAGCGACTTCATGAGCTGGTTGTCTTCGTCGCGCGCGACGTTGCGCTTGTGCTGCGTGTACACGATGTACGCGATGATGCCGAGCATCGCGACGCCCGCAACAAAGATGACGCCGGACCCCAGGAGCAGCGAGACGTTTTCCTCGTCGCGGGCCGCGTCGCGCGCCGCCTGTTCGGCCTTGGCCACGTTCATCGCGTTCGTGTTCTGGAGGAGCCCGTCGTGCTCAGTGACTGTCTGCGCGCAGACGATCGCGAGCGCCTGTAGCAGCATCACCGTCTTCATGGCTTGTCCTCGCATCTCCATCGGGCTTCTGACGTCTCGTCCACGCAAGGGAAATTGGATCCAAGATGGCGCTTGGTATTTATACTGCGATCTTCTCAACCGAAAGATCCGGTTACAGCGTTGAGAGTTGCTGCGAATCTTGCTCCGACACTCGAAGGCTGCTAGCACGAGCGCCACTGCAGCGCGAACCAAGTTGCTCACGTGCATCGACGACCTTCTGACAAGCTTGTATCGCATGGCGTGCACTTGCAGCCAAGTTCACTTGGGTGGATTCCTCTGCACTGCGACCACCCAGCACAATGGCAAAGTCGACTTGGCCATTCATCCGCGTCGATACCATCAAGGCGACCGAGACGTAGGTCGGGAGTACGCGTGCATTTGACGGTCTGGCATCGACGCGGGAAGAACCTCTCAGACTGCATGGAACGGCGCAGTTGATGTCTTTGGAAAACAAATGCTGCGCAATCTGGTGAGAGATCCCAATTGAAGCTTGAATGTAGCCCTATTCATTGGCTTGGAACCGGGTGCCCACCCAAGCGTATCCGGAAAAGCGCTCTCGGCATAGAGAAAGCAAGTTGACAGTCGCCGCAGCTGGCGTGCTGTCCGGATACGAGCATAAGATCTGGGAGGCTGACGCTGGACGCTCGAGGTCACTTTCGATTTTGCCCACCGTCGCCAAACAATGTTGTCCCGTGTCTTCCGCTCCGCTGTGCGTTCGCCGGCGCTCGCCCGCCGCAGCTTCGCGACCAAGTTCACGCCCGAGCACGAGTACCTCATCATCAACGGTAACGAGGCCACGGTCGGCATTACGGATTTCGCGCAGACCGCGCTCGGCGACATTGTGTACGTCGACCTCCCGAGCGTCGGCCAGAAGTTCGCCAAGGGCGAGTCGTTCGGCTCGGTCGAGTCGGTCAAGGCTGCCAGCGACGTCTATGCGCCGGCGTCGGGCGAAGTCATCGAGGTCAACGAGGTTCTTGCCGCGTCGCCCGAGCTCGTCAACGAGAGCCCGCTCGAGAACGGCTGGTTCATGAAGATCAAGCTCACGAACCCCGCCGAGACGAGCGAACTCCTCGACGAGGCGGCGTACCAGAAGCACTGCGATGAAGCCGACCATTAAATAGACTCGTCCTCGTAGCGTTGTTAGTTTACGTCCCTTTGCTTTTCATGTTATTTTGCGCACTTCCATCGGAGCTTCAATGTGCGCGACCACCAAGTCATCGTCGCTAGTGATGACACCGTATCCTGCTTGTTGTCAATGTGAACTATGGACCTTCGAACGAGACCATTCAGTGCAGGCGTAGCCTGCCCTAATGGCACGGTGGCAGCCTCTCGTTGGCCACAATGCCACGTGCAATCGCCCAACTTCAAGTCGAACCAGATGGCGCCTGCGCTTGTATGGGCAATCAAAGGATGCGCCACCGCGGACATGCAAAGCAACGGCCCTGTGCCAACAAGCTGCGGCAGGTCATGTAGATCGTCTCTCTTGCGCAGGAAGGAGAGGGCGTCTTCGCATCAAACCAGGTATCCGGTTACGGATAAAGATTTAAAGTCGTTCCATTTTTGCGATGGCCAGGCTGGCGCTGGCAAGTATAGTCATCAGCCCCGTCGCCGCGCTCTTGGTGTGGTCGCCAGCGAATGGGCCGCGGGTGACATTGTCGACCGACTATCCTGGGGGGTGGGCCCCGAGCAAAGCGAGTTGCGTCGACATCTGCGTCGGTGCGAGCCCATACCCAACGTGCTTTACAAACACGACCGACTGCGTCCACAAGCGCCAAGCGCCCGGCGACTACGACACCTTGCTTCTCGACCAGCTTTTTCTCCCGCAGTTTTGCCGCGACTTGCTCACGGGCACCGACCCGACGCTGGCCCACCGCCCCGTCGCGGCCTACCCGCTCGGTATCTCGTGCAAGATGCCGTCGGTGCCGAGCCGCCTCTTGATCCACGGTCTGTGGCCCAATTACGACGGCGGGTACCCCGCTTGCTGCAATACGAGCGCCACGATCTTGAACCGGCCGTTCAACCCGCATACGTGGACGACCCGATTCCCGTCGTTACTGGCCGACATGACCGACGCGTGGCGAGACGCGACGCAGCTAGTGCCCATCGACATGGCCTGCGAGCTGTGGAACCACGAGTTCCAAAAGCACGGTCTCTGCTACACGGATGCCAGTAGCGGCTACGAAGACGCCGCCGCGCGGTACTTCACCGATACGTTGCACGTGGCGCAGCGCCTCGCCGCGGCGACGACAGCCATCAACGCAGTCGCGGCAAGCGATATGCCTATGGTGACTACAGCGATGCTCCAGAGCCTCTATTCGCACACTGTCGAGATGCATTGCGTCCAACGAGACAATGGAAGCGTCTTCCTATCGGCTGTTCGGAGCTGCTGGAGCAAGCCTCGCGGCGATATCGCCACCGCAGTGCAAGTCGACTGCTCGAGTACGCGTGCGCCTGACGCGTGCCCACCCAACGCGCATTTGTCCGTCGCACCGTACAAGGCACCACAGGACTGAGCTCACACGGGCGTGCTGACCGCGAGTAGGGCCAGCCGAGCGTTGAATCCAAGTCGTCGTGTGGTACTAGTTTGGTAGACCTTCTAGAGAGCTGATACTCGCTTCTTGGAGTATTGCGACGATAGTCAGCCGCTAGTACTTAGTATGCACATACTAGTAGAGGCAATGCCACAGCGTGGTGGCGGCATGCGCATATTCACAGAACGACGAGGTGGGTTAGTACGATGATTAGAAAGCCGGCGCGCAATCATCTGTCCGAGTGGCGCCGTGGGCCGACGCGCGCAGTGTCTTCGTCGTCACAGAGGCAGTTGATCCACGTGTCCATGCACCGAGGGCACGTGTCGGCAGCGACGCGGGCCTTTCGCGGCGACTTGCTGTGGACCGGCTTGACAGGTCGGGGGTTCGGGGTTTTGCGCACGTCGTCCGCCGGGTGTATACGCGGGCGGGGCATGACGTTGGCCTCGTCCAGCTCAAGGAACTCGACGATGAGCTTCCTTCGGATCGTAGCATCCGTGTGGGCGCACAGGTCGAATGGGCACTCGAGCACGTGGCTCAGCATGTCCTTAAGGAAGAGGCAGAGGCTGTCGATGCGCTCCGCGATGACGCTTGTCTGCGCCGCCAGCAGAGGAAAGAGCGTCCGGCTTGGGAACGGGTACGACTTGATGTGCTCATAGTGCTGGCTGCAGCGGTCGCAGTGGCCTTCAATGAGGCACAAGATTTGGTTGCGGAGTTCGTAGAAGTCCGAGTACCGGCGCTTCGCCGTGTACTTGTGGTCCGTCGAGAGGTTGCGCAGGAAGATGATGTACATCGTGCAGCGCTCGTTGCCGTTGGCCTTGTCGACGGCGTCGCGGTCGGCCTTGAGATACAGGTCCAAGTGCTCCATCCTCCGTTGACGCCTCTGTGACTCACGGCAATGGCGGTTGAGGCAAAATTCGGGCGAAATGTCCTAATATAGGAACATAGAATCAGGATTCTAGGCACGTACGCATTCTGTCGCTTGGACCGATGAGCTTTGGGAAGACCAACTACCGCGTCGGCGGAACCCGCGGTGGCCAAGACCGTACGCTGCCCTCCTGCCGCTACATGGGCTCACGCCCACCATAGAGTTCAAGTGGGACGACGTCAAGAACGACAAGTACCGTGAGAACTACCTTGGCCACTCGCTCCAGGCGCCCGTCGGCCGCTGGGCCAAAGGTACGTGCTACTGCATGCACCTTTCGCCCCATGACCACCGCCTTGCATGTAGGCAAGGACCTCACGTGGTATGCCAAGACCAAGGCGGAGCAGAGCGCGGCGCTGGCAGACGAAATCGCGCTGGCCCGACAGCGCGACGAGGACCTCATGAACGAAGCCCTGTACGTTCTTCACCATCCTATTCCAACTTGGCGCGTTGCGTGGCCTCATGCAACGTCTGTATTAGTGGTATTGCGCCAAAGCAGCGCCGCCAAGTCGGAGGTCTTGATGCGAACGAGATGAAGGAGCTCCTTCGCCGTGGTGTGACGGAGCGGGGCGACGCCGATGCCGAGCGCGTCCAAGGCGTGGGCGCTGCCCACTTTGTCACGGGGTACGAAGACCCCAACTACCGCAAGACGACCATGGCCGAGCGGTACGAAGCCAACTACGGCAAGGAAGACTTGACGTACGCGATTCCGGGCTCGGCGACCGCAGACGAC